GTATGTGGGATCCGAACCCTCGGGCGGGAGCGCCGCCGCGCTTCCCAAGCGGCGCACTATCCAGTGCGCCACCAGGCCGGCCCTAACATATTTTCATTTTTAATAGTTTTAGCTAGTCAGGGTCTCTCTCTCTTTATGAAATATGTGTATAAAATACATTTTTCATTCTAACTCTTTCTTAAAAATGACTCAAATAATTTTTAAATGTCCCAGTTCTTTAAAGTAAAGTGATGTAATGATGAAAATAACAATACTGCTTATCTAGCACTAACCATGTTCCAAAACTGTTCTATAATCCAGAGTTAATATCATTTAGCACCCAGTGTAGCATTGTCACCAAGCAGTCAGAAGGGATGAGGCTGTAAAACCATTTTGGGTGAATCAGTGCATATCCTCCAAATATCCACCCTGCAAAGCTGGTGCTTAATTTTCCCAAATTATCCTCGATAGTTATCTTGGGTTTATTACTCAGAAAACCTGACATAATAAAATCCTCTTGCTTAATTTTTCCATCATATATTTTCCCCTCTCCCAATTTTAAGAAGGAAAAATGATTTTTTCCCCTTACACAACTTTACTACCCTCACTGAACAGGATTGAGAGTATTTTCCACCTGAATTTCCTGCTCCCCACAATAATTCTTCTTTCGCCCTCCTTCAAGGATCTCTCTCTCGTGAAACACAAAAGCTATTCTGAGCTACAGTTACCGAGTACTTTCAATAGTCATTTCGGGTTTTAAGTTGTGGATGTTTTATATTGGAAGAGGGATGTTTGAATTGCTATGAGATATGGTAATTTTCCAGAACACTTTTTCTTTCTTCCGGTGGAGGATGTGTCTTCCAGGAACACTGGTAGTTGCAAAACTGGTTTGGTCAGGAGGGGCCGGGAAGGGAACTTTAGTTAAAACAAGAGAGATCTAGATACCATGGAACAAGCACATTCCAACAAGCACATTCTTTAGTAGCAGTCACACCTCAAAGAATCAGATGTGACATACACATGGGACAGGGATGCACAGGTTTGAGACCAAGGAAGTCATTCAGCGAATGCTCATGGTCAGACCACCTGAGCAAGGTAGGCAGGTGCGCACTCAGGTACAGAGGTGACAGGTAAGGCAGGCAGCCCAGGTCTAGGTCTATGTGTGCAGGTCAGAGAGGTCAGGGAGGGATGAACTCGTCATCAGTGGAGGTCAATGGAGATGTTCATGTGACTGTGTGTGGATTTGGGGTTTAAAAATGCTTATTGCAGCAAGAAGAAGGGAAGAGGGCTGTAGGTGGGCCCCCCTCTGGTTGAAGAGGGGAGTCAGTGTAAGGATTCATTCCCGTGTGGTTTTACCCTCTCCCACATCATACCTTCCCTTCTTCAAATGTCCTACCAAATGAAGGAAAGTACTTAAGTAAGCAAAATACCCATGGTTTCACAAACTGTCTCCTAGAAAATCAACATGGTATTAACAATCCTGTAATAGATTTCTCACTCATTACTTTAATAAGGAAAATTAACAGAATAAACAATAAAATTCCAAAACTGTCCATGTGAATGCATTTCCATTAGAGTATCATGCAATACAATAATGTGGCAAAATAAAGGAATCCTTCAGATGAATTATTATTAACAGGGCAAGTTAAGAGTAAGTATTTAGTGTTAACATATTTCAGATCTTTTATAAGATAAAAATAATCCATCTGGAATGGGAAAAATAGATAGCTGACCTGAAAACTGCCAGCCAGTGTTACGATAAACTTACAGGAACCGAAGATGATGCTCATAAGAATCCTGTCACTGATGTGTTTTCTTAAACCATAATTTTGGAAAAGCACTAAAAATGATGAAGAATAAGTCTTGAAAGGAAATGTGACATTAATGAGTCAGAAAAACCCATTAAGCCCAAACACCTCAGTTTTCCAGCCTGTACACATCACTGATACACAATGGGTTAAGGACATGCTGCAGTGAATCATCCACTAAAGATGGAAATAACTCAAATGACAGCACATGCTCGCGACCTCTCCTGAAACTTTCCTTATGTTCATCTGGTAGAAATCTTTCCCCCTGCCCTTGCATTCCTTTCCACCAGAGTCTGTTACTGAATTATTAAAAGGAGTCAACATCAAAATTGTGCTGTAAATCTAGTGTCATGAGTAAATCTGTTATTGAATGGATCACAGTTTAAAAGAGTTGCATACTTGGTGAAAATAATAAGACATTTGACTTATGAGCTATTTTAAACATATACATTTTTATTAATCTGTAAATTCACAATTACCCTCCCCAGCAAGAAAATCTCATTTTTGGAAAGGACAGGCAGAGTCATACGTATAAGAGAAAATAGGGCTGTGCCTCTTCGCATGTGTGGTATTTTCCAAAGGTCAAAATAAAGTTTAAAAGAGAGAGAGAGAAAAAAAATACCCAGCCCCCAAAGCTAAAAGTGTTATTTGGTTTAGCAGCTCATAGAGTTAGGGTGGAGGGATCACAGTGAAGAAACATGTTGCAAAACATGCCATGTTCACATAGACTGGGTGGAGTTAAAATCCTTCTGTGAGTATGTCATTTCTCAGTTCATTTTGTGTCTTGGAAAGAACAACACATTGATGATTAAAAGAAAACTGGAATAGAACTTTGTCACTAGATTTTGTTATTATTATTATTTTTTTGGATTGATGAGGAGTGTGGTGGTTGAAGCCACACATCCAGGCTGAAACCCTGCCTTGGATTCCTTGAATGACAAGGGAATTTTCCCTAAGGCTCAAT